CAGCAACTGTGCTGGACAGACCAATAACAATTTGGTTCCAGCGATATTTAGCTTTAGCAAATGCTGTGCTTTCCATGAGCAAACTTAATTAAAAGGAAGTTGAGTCCAGCTTAAACAGCACAGCACAGCACTCTGATAGTTTGCACAGTGAGAAGAAATTCTGAGCATATATAAACTGTGAACTCTTTTTAAAGTTCATGTTTTTAATTAAAACAGTACTTACAAATAATACTTCACTGTGGAGCTAATGTAAGTATGTGTGGCAACTAATTTCCTTCAGTAGTTTTCTTCTTTTTCTCTTTATAGGTCATGGTGGTTTTTTTGAATTTGCTCGTTTGCGATTCTTTTACCAAGTTTAGTAGAAAAAAAAAAATTAACCTTGCTAGTTTTGTTAAGAAGTTTAACAAAACATGTTTAAGAAGTAACTATAAAGAATGTTYCAGGGATTGCACATAAGACTAGGCATCCAAGTCACATCTCTTTTCTGATCAGATGATCCTTGCAAAGCACCTAAATAGCAGAACTTTTTTTTGGGTCATCGGAGAGCTCAAARATGCAAAACTTCTCTTTTGTAATAATAAAATTATTTTGAAAATCATTGAGGAAATACTTCTTTTCACAATCACACTTCTGAGTTCTTTTTTGTGTTCATGTAGACAATCACTGTGCGTCTTCCAGAAGTGTCCATGTCCTTGCTGTCAGGCTGCTGCTTTGATTTGTTGACAGTCCAACTCCTATGTAAAAATGTTGGATGCCGTTTTAATTTCAAATATATAGAGTGTTCAATGGATTGAGCTTAAGTTTTTCTGCTTGGTGGTTGCACAATTATGCCAAGGCCCAGTGTCCTKCACTGCTGTGGCAAAATAAAGTTGGTAGGAAATTTTGCAGCATGGAAATGTCCTACCTATAGGGTAGGTTTGGGTAAGGTGGGCAAGTGAGCTCATTTATGAAACATGGAGTTACCATCCAGTCTAAAAAGGCACAAATACTACCTCGAAAATAATTCAGGGTTGAAGAGGATGTCTCAGGATGCTGAATTTGAACGCAGTGGAGCCTTTGAAGGGCCAGCAAACAAGGCCTAGAATATTTGGAGGGTTTCTAAGACAAATAAATGTCTCAGACATCTCTGATTTGTGATGCTCTTTTTTGTAGTACCGGTGAAAATGTGGGGCTTTGGACAGAATCTCTATTGAGCCAGCTAGTGCTTCAGGCAGTGCTGGCTCAGGGTAGACTTGTGAAGAGTTTTGTCAGGAAGGTCTGCACCTTTTTTAATACTTTTTTTCCTGCTGCATGCATAGGATTGTTTGTACTTAGTGCACTAAAAATCCGTGTAAAGTGTAGGCTTTGTACAATCTTGTATGCCTTGTGCTAGACAAGGGGTCAAACCAGCCAGGGATCGATAGTCAACTGGCCATTGATTTAGCTGTCCRCACTGCTAAAAATGTGCCCGCACAAAGGGAAGCAAATAAACAAGTAAAAAGTCAAAAGGAGCCCTGACAGCAGCACTTGATCCCTTCTGTTCACCCTGTGATACAGTGGAAGTGGTTCACTAACAATTCCGAAAGTCCAAATGGTCTAGACCAATGCTACTTTTTTAAAAATATATATTATAAATTCCTTTATACAATCTATGGAAAGAGAGATACTATCATTTGATCATTTAGTCATATCAGTAATCTTTACTGATTCACAGGAGCCAGGTGAAGGTACCCCCAGAAGAATGGCAGCCCCTACCCCTTACGCAGCACCCCGTCTTCCACCACCACTTAGAGGAGGTGCCAAGGGGACAATCCCTCCATCCCTCCTCTGCTATTGGGAAGYAGGGGAGCTTGGGGTGACTCTTTTTTAACTTTCACACCACCAGCCCCTGCCCATCCTATCTATAACTCAGTTAGAAGCATCACGGCATCCTTCCTAGGCCAATGAAGAGAGAGCTTTTCCAAAAGGTAATAACCAAGTTTAGGTGTTACAGCTGTAGGTAGACACCTGAGTTATACATTCGATAGTGGAATTCAAGTATGGAAAAGCAGCAGAGGAATAAATGGGGAAAAATTAGAACTCTGGAAAAATATTTTAATTCAGACTTCTGAATTAATTCTGGTATATTAATCTGATCAAATGCATATCAGCTTTCCAATGAATTGTGTTTCATGTGTCCTGGAAAGTTCTTTTGTAATCTCCAGTACTAAAAGGGTATTTTTTTAAAAATAAAACAACAAGAAGGAATATTGAGTGTGAATCCACTGAGAGAAGGTATTACATGCTATTTCTAAATTTCATTCAAGCTTGGTGGCCTATATAGAATCCAGTTTAAAAATAATCTAATAAATTGAAGATGAGATTCATGCTGCCATCTTGGTGTTTTCAAAATATTGAGCAAACAATGCAAAATTTATGAAATAGCATATAAATGTTTCCATTTAAATGATCTTGTTTTATAAAAAATGATTCCACAAAAATGAATTTTTCCATAAGGAGTGGAACTGTTTTTGTGTCAAGGGGATACAGAAGTTGGACTCAGATTTTTAAAGGAGAGAAAGTTATATGTAGCTAGCCTGAGGATTTGATAAATGGCCATTAGGCAAAGATGAACCAACTTGAAGGAAATACTAATTTAGAGTGATTTGAACCTGAATCTAAAATGTACAGAAAGACATGACTGTGCTACTAAAGGTGAGCTCCAGTATCGATCTGTGTGAATATTAGAATGAAGTCTGAAATTGTTAAAGACTTATTAAATATTTCCTTATTAAAGGAAAACACAAATATAAGCTTTGAGTAATTTGTAAAAGTAGGGATTAAGAATCTCACACAAATCCACATACAATGTCATATTTTCAATGTTCCTAAAGTAGGTTTGGAAGATGGAAAAAGGAGTATTTCAAGGATCGATAATTAACTTCCTAGAGCAAATGGGGTTGATGTAGGTTGAATAAGAAGAATTGATGTACGGGTTCATGAATAAAGGAAACAGTTTACTGCACTTGATTTCCAGTCCTACTGAGGCTGAAGGAGGCTTGAGGTCCTCCTCAGAAAGCAGAGCCTTGCCAAGAGCTGCCAGCCCCTCCCTACACGTGGCTTTAACAAATGCATTCTTAAATGAGAGGCTCAGCCTCCGCTCACGCCAGCAGGAACTGTTATGTTGGCTTTGCGGGACATTCTTCCAGATATTACCTCAGGGTGGGAGGGAAAATCCCATCTGAGCATTGTCCATCTTGCAGGAGCGGGTGGGAGGGTCCAACCCAACAGCAGATTGGAGTTGGAACGTGCCCTCTGCAGGGGCCTCCAGTCATTAAGTTCTGGCGGAGCCGTGTGTTTTAAGGTCTGTTTTCTAGAAAGGTCTTCTGCGTCTTTGGCACCGGCCTTGCGAGCTGGGAGACTGACTCAGTGCTCCGTAGTGACAACATTTCTGGCCGTTTCCTCAGAGCTGCTGCGGACAACTCAACTCGCCAGCCTTACAGCAGGATGCTTGAGGAGTGTCTGAAATGCTCCAATATGAAGACTTAATCAAAATCCTCACTGAAACCTACTGTTAATTTGTAATGGAATAACGCCTTTAAACCTCCCTAGTTGGGTTCTTGGGCAGTTTGGGAGTGTCTGTCTGACACAGTTGTCACTATCTGACATATGTGCATCCTCAGCCAGAGTAGCTGGAGCCTGGTGCTGATGCCCATGGGCCAGAGCAGGCAGGATGAGTGGCTCCCAAGGTGGTGATCCAGGCTGGCATGGGAACTACAGAGAGCCCTCCCAGCTGACTTGGGAGAACCTTTAGTGGTCTTACTTTCTTCTTTTTTAAGCAGGGCAACTGCAAGCTGTGAATGAGAAACGTGGGAGCTGTGGGCCTTGCTGCTGCCCATGAAGTCCTGCAGGCAGCAGCACAGCCGAACGGGAGGAATATGTCTCTAAGTGTCCCCTTCATCTTTGGGAAGGCATTACCTCCCATTTCTGGTTCTGGTGTGAGATATGGTATCGCAGGGGTTATACTTCCCTGCAGAAGAAAGGCACATTCCTCTAAATGTTATATTTGTATAGTGAGGAAAAACGTTTTTTCCCGTCCTTAGCAAATTGTTGTGTTGTGAAGGGAGCGTGAGCAGCCTCATCCGTCTCTGTCTGCTTACTGCTCTTGCTTCCTGCGCCGGTAACAGGTATGATCGCTAAGGCCTTGTGAGAGAGGGACTGTGTTTCATTCATCCTTAGCGTGGAGCTAAACTTGCCATGGATATTTAAAGTGACTGCCTTTAATCCTTAGCGCAGCTAAAAGGCTTAGGGGTTCTTACTCGAGAAGCAAAGCAGGTTGGTGGCAATTCTGATTTATTTTACTTGTTGTCCGCAGCTTGAAAACTGACTAGTCCAAAGTTCCCATTTTTAATATTCTTTCAGCTGGAATGAATGGCTGCAGTGAAAGTAAAGGATGTGGTGCAGCTACTGATGCCTGACTCTGCCTTTGCCAGATTATTCTGTCCTTTGGCTGTAGGAATCGTGTCTGCACAATAGCTATTTTTTAATTTTTTTTGTTTGTTTTTAACAGTGACAGGTGGGAAGAAAAGATATTATGGGAAATCTTCTATGTTTTGAAGCAGTCTGGCTCGTGATGAACAGGTTGAATGGACAGTCTGCAGGCTGGAAAACACATCTGCTTAAAATGTGTTAAATTTCAGTTATTTATTTCAACAGCGCGTTTGTGGAAATCATGTTTTCTTCACAATCATTGCTGAATTAGGACACAGTGCAGGAGTGCTTGAGCATCAGGGCAGTTTTCTGTCACTGAGTAGGGTCGGTGAGTTCAGTGAGAGCACTCAGGCACAGAGTTAAGCGCATGAGTGAGAGTTTGCAGAAATTTGGCAAATGTGTTGTCCTCGTGAACAGATTGCTCAGCTTTGCTTCTAATGCTTCCATAAATTCTTGACTTGGTTCTATTTTGAGTAGCCCTCTTAGCAGCAGCCATAGGCTGTTTTATTACGCTGAGACTAACTGCGACTATTTCTCTTATTCTGTCATAGCAACAAGAGCAGGATCCCACAAATCTATACATCTCAAATTTACCCGTTTCCATGGATGAACAGGAACTGGAGAATATGCTGAAACCTTTTGGACATGTCATTTCCACCAGAATATTAAGAGATGCTAATGGAGTCAGCAGAGGAGTCGGCTTTGCCAGGTGAAACTCTTACTGTATTTGATTTATCCTTTTCTTTTTTTTTTGGCTTTGGTCTCCTGCAAATTCTGTCTTTTCTGTAATTCTGAAGCCCTATAGCCATGGAAAATGCAGAGGAGCAGCTTTATCAGATTGTGTATCTGTTCTTTCCACCGAGCTGAAGAATATCAATGCAAAAGCGTGGTCATTAACTGCTCCAAATACTAGTTCATTCTATGTATGTACGTAGCACAAAAAATCTCTAGGAATAGTGAGACATCCATGCAGCATCAAGCTTGGATTAAAATAAATGGCCTACAGCCAAAAGCACACACTTGGTTAAGGAACCTTTTAAATGTTTAGCAAAGATTTTGTGACAAGAAAAGGTGAATTTTTCCGTTGGAAGAGCAAAGGAGAGAACTGTTAATTGAAGAAACATGGCTTCCTTGAAAATGGCAGGGAACCCAAAATTATAAAAAAAAAAAGGAAAAGAAGAAATATTTGCATACAAGTCCTGACAGAGCTGTAAGATATTTTTGACTGAGCAGGCAATATATTATTACAGTGTATTTTGTTGTCAGTTCAGAAAGACAAGCTCCCATGTTTACTCTTGGGGAATATTTACATAGATTCTCTTCACCTAAAAACACTCTTAAATTAAATAGTCTCCCCTTCAAAAGGTGAGAAAGAGAGAGCTGTCTATAGAAAAGGGTACAAAAAGACAACAAGGAAAAGATAAATTTGTAACTGCTGCAAATCAATCCCCAGGTCAGTGTTTTTACTGAGTTTTTTAGCGTTGTAGTTTGTAAAGCAGGTGAAATGACTGAGTCATCTTGCGATTTTCTTGGAAATGTGCTGTGTCTTGGTGAGCCATGGCATTTCTGGTAGTGTCATAGCACCACTGAATGAAATAGGGTCATGTGTSATGAATAGGTAGCTTGTAAAGGTACCTGACATGGTAGTGTTACTGCTGTCCTTGATGTAAAAGCTCATCATGCATAGCAAGACAATACTATCTGAATTCAAAAGGAAAAATCAAAACATTTATGCTTTTTGGTCTTTATGTATTGTCACAGTTAATGACATCATTTATTTTCTTCTGACTTGCTAAATACAGATTAGTGTAACTCAAGGATAAACTTGCTTTTTATAAGTTGGTTTTGTTTGTAGGAATGTAGTTTTATTTAACTCATTTCAAAAATAAGCATTTATGACCTAACATGAAAGTTGAGTAATTCACTGGGAAGATGAGAGAGAGTAAAATCTTGGCTCCATTGAAGAATACAGCAGAACCTGACTTGAAATGAGGCCAGGATTTCTCAAGAAATTCATAGCCATAGTTGGACCCTGACTCTTAATTTTGCCTTTGCTTTACTAGAATTCCCAGTACAAGCTTGAATTAGTTGACCAAAACATCTTCTTTTTCTAATAAAGTAGATTCAGTATCATTTTTTTTTATGGTGTGTGACTCCAAATAGATTATTTTGTTTAGCTTTGCTTGTAGTCATGGAGGGTTCATTCTAGTCTATCTACAGTGTGAGCACATGATAAGTGACTATAAATACAGTACAGCTAAGGGGGGAACAGCTGTGTTTCAGTCCAGATAATATTTCAAAAGCTCAGATCAGCAACCACTGGGATGATCTTGATCATTACAGGTTCAGATGTGGGGCCTTTTTACACAGTGGAGCTGCCCATGTGGTTGCCCCAAGCTCTTCAAGTACCTATAGAAACACAGTAAATAAAGTTATCTTTGCATAAAGTAATAGCATTCAGCTATTTTGAAATCTGATATTTCAGAGTTATTAGTTAATCACTATGGTGATTAAAAATCACAATATTGTTAATGTTGGTATAAGGACCAGAGCTAGGGAGTGAGGTGATCTCTTGGAGGATGACTGGAGTTGCTGGGTGGGAAAGGGGACTAGGAATGAATGTGGAGGGCAGTGGATGTGGAGGAACCTTCCTCCTGAGATGTTTTTGCTGTCCCTCATGAAGACATAACTATATCCTGAAAGACTTGGCTTTCCACAGGCCTGCAAAGGACTAATTCCAGGTCTTAAATTGAAAGAAGATAAAAGAAGTGACATAGGCAAAGTGGATCCAAAGCTCCGGTGAAATTCAGATAAATGAGGGGGAATATTCAGAGAGGGAGATTTCTGAGGGTCTGCGATGATGCTACTTTGGAGGCAGAAAACTGTCAGCAGCACCATGGGATAGAGAAGAGCCTGGTAGTTTAATGATGCGTTTGTGAAGAAGGAGGTTGCTTTGTCCCTCCTTATTTGAGGGTTTAATTGAAGACGGTTGAAAAGATGCTGTAAAAGGTGCTATAAATTTAACTTGAACAAATCCATCATCTGGTAAGGCAGTGCAGGTTTAGATATTATGTGGATCATTCTTACTTTCAGTCAGAAAAATGATCTGTCAAATCCTGTATCTTACCCAGGAAATTGATCTATAATTGGGCATCTCAGATGAAACTAGAAATCTCAAACACACCACAAGACTTTGTGTGGTATCTGTAAAATATTCCAGGGCCTGTGGTGACAAATTTCCATTGAAAGGCCTCCTTGGAAGGGGCTCAGAGCAACACTTGAAAGTCCTGCGAAAGGAGGATGTTAACTTGAGAATCTTGAGACCCTCAGATTTCCATCTGGCACTGCGTCCTGTCCCAGATTTGGTAGACCATGAAAATACTGCTCAAGCTGGAGCTGCACTTCCAAAGTGTTGCAGACCCCCAGAAAGGGACAAGTGAGGCAGGATCTCAGGATAGATGTTAATTTGTACATATATCAGAGGGAGTGCATTACACGAAAACGGGTGTGAAGCTCTTCCAGGTGAAGAGACAGGAAGTGAGGAAATGAGGAGCCATCAGGTAATCAGGCTGAGCAGTTTTGATAAGCCCTCAATACGGAGGGTTTAACTGAAGAGCTGCACAGCGCGTGCGCACCTTGGGGCACCGAGGCTTTGGGATGGACAGCAGGGAGAGACTTCCCGATACCACTGAAACAAAGGCATAGAAATTGATCTTTAGAACCTCACAGTAAAATGCCATTAAGGTATTATTTGAGAATCTTCCTCTGGAGATAGTAATATAAATAATGCTATGCATACATCCACCACACTCAACTGAACAGCAGAGCAAGCCTTTTATAGGTCCTTTTAAATGATAAAGTGCGAGGAAAGTGTTAGAAACCACTAACTTTTTTTTATTTTGTTTGCTGTCTTGTAACTTAAAACGACCTTGCAAGATTCAACCCCCAAGCGACGTTTTACAACAAAGTCATAAGCCTTTGAAAACAGAAATTTATGATGGAAATGCTGACAGTCAGACTGCTGGCGGGCACCAGTATAATACTTAACCTGAGAGTGCGAAGACAGTAGCATAAATCAGCCTGGGTCTAGGTAGAAATGACTGTGCTCATGCTATTCTTTTCCAGTAACATGAGAGAATTTGTCCAACGTAAACTGTCATAAAAGAACGTTACGATGCAGTTCCTGGGAACGACCAAAGTCGAGAGATTCTCAGTTCCTCTGTCAGCACAGAGGGAAGGGAGATATTGAGGAGATAGGTCTGCCTTCTGGACAGACCTGGGGGGATCCAGAATGGGGAATTCACCAGTTTTGTTGTTTGGAGCTTGGGCTCTATTCTTGTCTTATGGTTAAAGCTCTTCTGGTAGAGCTGTTAATAGGATGTTTTTCTCTGCCTGCATGTGTTTTTTATTAAAATTTTCTCATGCTTATCTGCATTTTAGATGTATTAGATTTAGTCTGTGGAAATATTACTTGACTCAGTGGCTGAAAATGAGCAAGAGAAAAAGRAAAACTAGATTTTGAGCCCCTCTCAGGATCATTATCCATTTATGCAGGTTTTACATGGATTTCAGTAGAAATGAATCTGCTCCAGACTGCGCTGAAGCAAAGTGAGGGAGCCTAGCCTTTAATTTGTGCATGCTTCTCATTAAAGGAAGCTTTGCATCTTTCAGGGTTTTTCAGGGTAATTTAGGTGTCATTTAGTCCGGACAACCTCCCGTTGTTCATGCAAACTGAAATGAATGTGAAGAATATACAGGCAAGATGCACCRGAAAAAGATAGAATTTATGCTAAATAAGGAGAACTTGTCCATATGAATATCGTTTCCTAGTCTATAAATTGCCAAGGGAATAGATTTTCCACCATAAAACAGATTTAAACCAAGCAGTACAGCCATCTTGAAGCAATCTCTTACTAGCTGAAAAGATGGGGACAGAAGATGCCTGAATCAGTTACAGAAGGAAAGAAAATCACAGATTGTGGCTGTATTACAGCCTTACATGCCAGATATTAAATCAGCAAAATAAGTTAAAGGAATCATTGACCATATTGCTATGGAATAATGAASAGTATAAGACTATAAGGAGGACTGCAGGATAAGAAATCTCATACTAATAAGAACTATTTTATAGCATCAGAGTATTTAAGACCAGAAGAACATTTTCTCTGATCTCCTTTATATCACAGACAGTTAAATACTCCCAGTTACCCAATATCAAGGTATTACTTGTCATGGGCTAAAATAAAACTTTTAGAAGAGATTTGAAGATATCAGTCAAAAAACAAAACAAAAAAAAAAAGGTACTTCTTTTTTAAGTAATGTGTTCCAGTGGATCATCTCCATTGTAGTTAAATGTTTCTGCCTAATTTCTCCTTTAAATTTATCTGGTTCTTGTCATAACTTTTTCCACAGGATTAAAGAACTGCTTAATACCTAGTTTATTCTACCCACAAAGGTACTTATGCATTACTATCAAACTGCCCCTCTAATCATTTTTGATAGACTAAAGAAATTTGAGTTCTCCAGTGTGTCTTCTAACCATGGCCTCAGTTCTTCAGCCTTCTCCTTCATAAAATACTGCCAAACTACCTCCATCTTTAGAAACTGCCTTAAATAGTAAAGAAAACTCCCTCCTCCAAGATTTATTATTCCTACTCTTATTAATGTTAGAAAACAGCACTATTCATATTTTGATCATAATATAAATATAAATCAAAAAAYGTTAATTTCAAATATCTACTTGGAATGCAAAAACACAGGGCTGGTTGTCATTGACAGCATCATTATTAAGCAAAGTGACTATAGGGTATATGGAAACCAAACTCACATTTTTAACCACTAACTGGTGATTATATAATACTGATTTTTTCTTACGTAATAATTATATATTCATCATGTTATTCTTTGTGGTGCATATTTATAAACTTCATATTGTGACACTGCATCAGTCTTTAAACATGTGAARGAGCTTTATTTATTTACTTTGTCAACTATGGCTAGAAGAGCTGTAAGAACAGTCTTCCCTTTTAGATTTCCTAAATAGTCCTCCTTTGCAGCTGGATTTTTGTTAGTTTCTTTGTTTTAGGTAATTATTTGTGTCATTAAAATATTAACTGTATCTGGCTTTTGGCTAGCTTTGATTTTTTTTTTCTGCAGCGTATTTCTTTATTCATATTCCTGTGCATTTTASTCATCTTCCAATTGTATTTTAACACGAATTATCATCTATGATCTTTTGGAATCAGCACCAAAAACATACTGTTGAAGAGATTTTAATTTTTGACAATAGCCTAATCAGAAGCAAATTCCTTGTGGAGCTGGTTTCTTCATCTTTCCAGCAGGACAATTGMATATCTTTATAATGAGATCTTCCAATAGAAATTTTTAAGCACTTAAGATTTTTTTTTTCCTCTGAATAATGTAATTTGCCACATTCTTGTTCCTTYGGTTATGGGAAAAAAATAAACACTGAAAAATGGGTTTAAGAGTGCTCGTGCTGTAGATCTACCTATGTTCTGATAATTTTTTTTGTAGGAAACTCCTTCCCTGGGAGCTAGTTTTTAACATGTAGTATGTTAATGGTAATATGTTTATTTGTTAAATAACAGGCTCACTCATTCAGCATTTTGAAACATTTGCATCTCAGACAAGATGAACAGATTCATGGCAAGAAGCAGTTTTTGTCATTCTCCCTCAAATTCGAAGGCACAGTGTACACTGGAGGAATTCCACAGCTTTTCAAAGAAAACATAGGTAGAATTTATTAGTGTAGGCTAAACAGAAGCACGTTTTTCACTGGACCCTTTCCTAAGTATGGCCAGGCTTCTGGGCTAAAATAAATAAAGGGAAAAAGAGGAATCTCTCAGTCTGCATGTGTGGAAGGAGAGCTTCAGCTCATGGATAGGCCCCTGCATGGACATTGCCTACTGCACAGTGGACATTAGGCAATGTTCTAACTAAACTAAAGCCAACACCTTGCAGTGGCGGGTGTCAGACAGTCTGAGTATTCTTCCAGGTTGCCTCCTCCTCTTTGGTCCTCATTCTTCCCCATGCATTAGTATTCCAGCTGAACTAAAAGTCAATTAAAAAATAAAACTTCCTTCAACAGTCTGTTTGAGGAAGAGGTTACTTATGCATATGTGAAAATTACGATTCACATATTTGTACYATTGGGATAGATCTGACTAGAACTGTCAGATAGAGCCAACTCTATTTCGCCCTCTTCTCAGCCAGGCTTGATAGTGCCAGTGTTGGTCTCGAGCGAATCACGTGCCAGATTGGAGATGTCCGGCAGTGGCTTTTGAGAGCAGGTAATGGTGAAACTTGAGATGAAAATGTGCACCTTCTTTATAAGGCTGCGGTTCAAACGATGGCCTTTCCATCACAGAGCTCTATGGGCTTCACCCTTATTCTCTTCCCACATGAAATGCGTCAAATGCCACAAGGCTCCCTTGCTTGGCAGCCTGTAYGTTGCATGATTTGCAAGGGCTGCTTTGCCTTGTTCAAATATGCCCCGTGCATTAAAATGAAATTGTCACTGCTGTGTGGTGCAACATAACGTGTTTTGACACAAAGCGCCTGCAGCTACAGCAAACAGCCTTTTATTGCATTTATTCTTTCAGAGACAAGAGTCTCTAAAGGCTCAGTGGAGGCATTTGCTTAGCTTAATGTGAGTGGAGCCCAAGTGAGCAGTCTAACTCGCTGTCTTTGGGCTGGTTGGAATGGCCCGGCCCACTATATGGTGATACACCCAGAAGGAAGCTTTTAATGATTGCACCTGAAGTAACCTGACAAAAGACATTGAATTGCTCATTGAATTAGTATTAAATAGAGACTTTTCTTCTCTCTCTCTCTTCTTTTTTTTTTTTTTTTTTTTTTTGTGATGGTGGTGATGATTTTGCGGGGATCCTTTGGAGTCTTAACTTTATCCGGTTAGACAAACACCTGCTCTAAACTCTCTGTTGAGGCTCTCTTCCATAAACTATGTGGGAGACGTTTTTATTTCCCACACCCATGTGATAGGAAGGAAGATGGATAAATTTTATTTTAAAGACTTTAACTGTCAAAAATTGATAAWATATATGTATCCGTGGAGTTACTTTGGAAGGAGTACTTGAAGGTAAGAACCTTTATWGAAGGAGTATTGAATGTGTTTTTAAATGCAGTTATTCCAGAGCGGGAAAAAAAAAAAAAAAAAGAGTGCAATTTTTGCTTGGTTTTTAGCTTCCCATTTCTCCCTCTTTAAGCATTTCTGTGTGTGCTCTAGCAGAGCCAGCTGTTCTCAGGAGCAGTGCGTAGTGAGTTTACAGGATCTGAAGGACCTGTGATTTCCTAGTGTGATATAAACACGAGTCATGATTCAACCAGTAGCTTTGTCTTTTTTTTTACAATTGCTTCAGTAACGTATGCTGGCTCTGTGTTAATGCTTTAATATCACAGTGCTGAAAATCATCCTTGAGGTCATACGAGATGGAGAGTAAGTCCTTTCACTTGCCAGTGTTATGGACAGCTTCATGTCTTCACCCTGAATTTGACTTTRTGAAATAAGCATATATGTTTTCTCTTTGCCTTGCTATACAGTCCATCTTCACAGGGTATCATATGGGATTTTTTTTTATCATTCTAAACTTTAACAATTGTCGCTTAATCCTCTGRGTTGTTGCCCAGCTCCTGTTCTTTTTCATGCCCTTTGCAATCACTTTGGGTGCACGAGGACTTGTGCGAAGGAGCCCGCTGCCCTTTGCAGGCAGCACAGGGCTCGATAAAGAGTGTCCTTGTTCAGGGTGACCCCAGGAGTCACCGCGAGCTGTCCCTTGCCGCGGCTCGCGCCCAGCTGGGAGTGCAGCTGCAGCCAGGGAGGGTGGCAGCGTCTCGCTGCTGGCCGCACTGCCCTGTAATGAGCTCGGCAGAAAGCAGCAAGAGCAGCTTTTAAGATTTCTCTCTGCATCTGCACTTGGCCTCTCCTTTTCCTTCATGTTTTTGCTGACTGAATGTTTTCATACCACTCTAGTAATAATTTTTGCCTCTGCCCCCATTCCACCCTCTTCTCTTTTCTAGAATGGAGTCTACAGAAAAATGTGAAGTAGTAATTCAACATTTTAATGGAAAATATCTGAAAACTCCACCTGGTCTACCAGGTAAGTGTAGCCACCACTTCTTTACTGAAATTTAAAGTTCACCAAGCAGGAGGAACAATGACATGACAACTGTATGTTGGGTTTGGCAATGTTACTGTCCCRTCTAAGAAGGCGTACGGCTTTCCCTATGGAAGCTGGCCCTTTCAGACCCATAAAACTCAGTCCCTGCCCTGGTTAGTGTTACTCAAGTAGCATTAGTGTTATGTCTGATAGTAGTGAGCGTAATAGGTACAAAAATTGTGTTGTCGTACTGATTTTTTCCCTTTTCCTTGCATTTATTATGTGAGATATTTTTTCCCATTAGAGCAAAGACCACATAATTAAACCTATGCTTTCATTATTGCATAGGAATATAAATGCATTGGCAATTATGTTATAGGTTATAAAAGGGCCAGGATTTCATGTTGTCAGGAAGCCTTTAACAGCTGTTGTTACAACTGAATGTGATTCATATATAGGCAGTTTTATACCATTTGTACTTGCCATAGTTTAATCAGATCTTGATATTTTCTGACCATATCCACAGAATATACTTGGTGGCATATCCCTGCTACATCTAAAGACCAATTCCAGCCATTATCTTGCGCTTTTGAAATCTTTAGCTGACATCTCTGTGGCCATCAGCTGGGCAAAGTATAGTAATGAGTTGCCTGAATCTTGTTGCTTGACAAAACCTCCTAGAGACCACAAATCTGTGAAGATTTCTCCCTCAACTTGTGTAAAGAACCAGCTTTAGTACCTAGAGTTAAGTGAGCATGAAATCCTTGCAGGAATTGCATCTTAAGTAATTCTCTGCCTCTTGCTTTTTTATTTCTTACTTCCATTAAACTATTTCCTTTTTTGTTACTTTAACAAAAGCATTAAATTGCTACTTATGCATTGTCCGATTCTTTATGCAGAGGATGCACTTAATACTCTAATTAAAAGAGAGCAGGCTGCACAACTACTATGTACCCTAATGGAATAGTGCAATATGCATATAAATTGCAGTCAAATTGCCTTCATGCAATTTGACTCCATTCTATGGACTTCTTTTCTGTAAAAAAAAGTTATTGAGAAGATTTGTTGGCACTAACTAATATCTGTTATATATGTGAAGTATCACAGACTCAAGCTGTGTAGAACAGTGGGCAGAGCAACGTAAGCAGAGCCCTTAAACCTTGGACATGATTTTCTGTGTGCGTACAGTAGGTCACAAGGGTAATCTGTTTAATATTGCAGCAGCACCCAATGGAAGGAGTGTGAATAGCAAGGATTCGGTACCCTGCATGCTCTGTGGTCAGATTCCAATTGTCTCACACAGGAGACATCACTTGAGCAGGAAATGAAGGAGAATATTTTTATAATTCCTTCTTGAGACAAAAAGAGCTGCATGATAAAGAATGAAAGCCCAAAAGTTCAAAATCATTTTCTTTGGGGCTTTTATTTTTAAATTAGCTTCCAATCAGGAGTAAACTGGTTATTCAAAGCGAACAATGTGGGACAAGCGAACAATGTGGGACATCAAAATAGGAGTCTTGATAAGATAGTATGATTACTTATTTTTATTCCAAGAGATACAGTGAAATTGGATTTTAATGGTTATAACTATTGCTGCATTCTTGATTAAAGTGCATGAATCAGCTCTTCATCTCCTGAAGAAAGTTTCCATGTGGGAAAGTTGTTGGACGTTTCTCCCTCTTGTTTATTGTGCTCMTACAGCATTTGTAATCTGGGAAGTAAATATTTTGAGAACTGTCATTAATCTGGGTTCCATTCAGGTGCAAGTAAAGCATAATGTGTCTTGGGGCAGAGCCAGGTAAAACCAGCAACTGGACTAGCTGAAGTACAGAGTATCTGTAAACTCACRCTTTGTCCTTGTAAGAAGGAGATTTTGTAGCTCCAAACACAGGTAATCAGCAATTATCATGGTATATTTGATTCACATAAATGAGAATATTTGTGCATAATTATTAAAGTAGGGTACTCTGCAAATATGTGCTTAAGAGTTTTTACTTATTCCTTCCTTCCTTTCCTATGAGAACAAAAGTGAACACTTAGGCAGTGGGTGGATTCAGTGTGATACTGGCCAGTCATATTCATTTATACACGGCAAAAAAAAAAAAAATCAGTCCTACTTTTTTCTTATTGACATAGTTTTCCATTACAGCTTCTGCTTAGTACATACATTTATGTTATGAACCTGTATTTAAGCTTCTCAGCGAGATGGAAGCATCGTACTTTATCCCCCTCCTGGCAATTGCTTATCTTCCTGCATGGAGGAGCAAGGAGAATCAAGTCTCCTAATGTACTTGGAAAATCACAATCAGAGTCTGAAAATTATCCTCCCAGCATCTCAGTAATTGGCATAGAAATAAAATCAGCTGTAGTTATTGCTGTGACCTCTTTATGGATTTCAGTTAAAAAATGAGGAACCAAGGAACATTAGCTGCGGAAGTATGCAACTCTATATGTTATTAACCTCTCCTGCTCAAGACGTGAGCTTACTGCAAGGGAAGATGAATCAATCCTTTCAGGGTTAAATTAAATTGACTGGCAATTTTTCAACTGGGGTTCTTCCAGGTATATCAGTGAGTGGGGCAAATTTTATATCTTTGCCCACATCTCACCCAAATTCTCATCTCCAGGTTGGCAGGCTTGTCAGCTGGTTGGATGATTCGACGAGGCCCATCAGAAAGCAAATTGGCCTAGCTGTGGGCTGTTTTATACCACTTTTTTTTTTCCTKAGGAAGGCAGATCACAAACCAAACACACTGTTTTGGTAGCTAGCTTCTCTCCGTGCTGTCCTCCCCAGTCGTGTTCTCAAGATATATAGTTCTGGAGGGCTAAAACACAGACACTTTAGCTGGGTGACAAACTTTTTGGAAGCCTTCTTGCCAGGTGTCACGATCAGGAGTTGTTATTACAAGCAATAACATGACAAGGACATGTCTGAACCTTGCACCACAACAGTTGTGATCCTCTCAACTCATTGGTATATATATATATCTATTTATATGTATGTGCGTATGTATGTACTTTGTATGTGTGGTAAAAGGCTCACATGTGGGGCAGTTGAGCCCAGTTATTAGGTCATGATCAAAGAGGGACTGGTGTGGGTAGTTTATGTCTGTGTCTTGTGTCTAAGCAGTCCATCAGAAAGGCTGGGCACCAGAGCTCCAGCTTCTGCAGTGAGTAACTCATGGTTATATCCTCCCAAAGGTGTTATCTTAAATACTCATTTTGAATACAGAGCTCTACCCTGTGGCAATGAGATACAGATTTGGTTGGGTGTATGGGTTTTTTTGTTGCTGTTTTTAGAGATAAAACAGAYGTTACAGCAGATGACATTTGTGTAACTGGTCATTTGAGCTCAGCCAGTAGCCACTCATCTAAGCTGGTCCAGACCAACAGTGCAGGAGGAAAGTGTAAAGCTTTGCTGCTTCTACAAGAGAAGGGAGGCACATGGGGCACTGTGTAGGCTCTGTATTCTGCGTATTTCCAAGGCAAAAATATGTCACACTTGACTTTCTGACTTGAACTACTGTATATTATTGCATAAAAGCTGCAGAGCTGGGCAGTTGCAGCTCCAGACTGCTCCGTTTCAACCCTGTGACGGTATAAAGATTATTTGCTGGCACTTAAAACTCTTTGCTGGTTAGATGTGTAATACTTAAGTAAACTGAGCAATATTGTGTCTGTATTAGTAAATCATTCCTGCTAAGGGTCCTTCTTCTCACTTCTTGGCTTCACTCCTTTCCAGAGGGAATTGCTTGCTCAACGTCCTGCTTGCTCAACTAATAAGCATTTCACAATGTTCAGTCTTAGGTATACAGAGCAAGATATCTGACTGCCCTGTAAATAATTAGTTAATGTCTCTGTATTTCTTCCAGTCTGAGAAAGTTAGGATTGTCTCTGGAAAGCTGCAAACTCTTGGTGCTGTGCAGATTGCATATGAATTTCACTGCTAGTAACTTTGATTGGCCTTGGTGGCTTTGGGGTTTCTGTTTCCCTTTTATTAGGATTTTTTTTTTTTTTTTCTGAAATAGAACAGGATCTAATAGGTAAGTRTTCAGTCATGGATGAAATGCTTGGGTAAGTGGAGCCTCATGTGAGGCTGGTTCTCTAGACCTTTGTTTCCCCTATGAAAAGAGAAGTCAGCAAATGAGTAGGTCTAGCCCAGTGAGTTAGCCTGAGCCTAGCACTGYGCTGCTCAATGCACAGCCTCCATGTGAAGGGCACTATTAGCCATGAAGGTAATGTCCTCTTAGTGCTGCCTGTTTTCTCATTGCTGAGCAGAGGACTTGAATATGAAATCCTGTTAATCTGCCCATCTYGCACGCACTGAATTCAAGGAAAAATGCCTGCCTTCTCTGTCAGTAGCAAATTGATTTCTCTTTGGATTGACAAGCTCAGGGTACTGTATTTGCAGAAGGTTTTCAACATATTCAGCTCCCAGTATCCTTGGATGTCTTTAGAAAACTTTTTTTTCTTTTTTTGAATAAATGCAAAGGCTTAAYGAGTTTTTACTTTCCTCTCTGGAATTTCACAGGAACATGCCTCAATTGCAGTAATTATCCTCTGCTGATGCTTCCACTATGCTCTCTCACTGCATTTCCTAGTAATTATAGTACTTCCTGAATTTCATTTGCTTTGTAAATACTTCTGGTTATCAGAGGCCATGGGGCCAATTCCTAACTCTGGGAAAATTTCAAGAAAGTGAACGCAATGTAATGCAAGTTCAAGAATCTTGTATTGGTCCTCTTTCATGGTAACAATTTGATGCTTTTCTTACTACTTTTAATGCAGGGTTACAAATATCTAAAAAAAAAAGAAGGGGAAAGCAGTATTTTCATGTTGGTAAGAGCCGTACAAGTAACAAACAGATGTGGCATTTTGAGGCAGGGTTTTAGCAAAGAAAAAACTTACGTAGGAAGAAATCCTCAACAGCACAGACTGCAAGTGTCTTGGACAGCAAGACCTTTCTTTGAATAGTGGTCATTATTGGCCATGTGTATCTCTTAAACAGAGCCCAAGCACTGCTCYTCTATGAAGACTCATTTCTCCAGAATGAACTGATATTCGTATTTTCTGCCGCTCTCGTTAGCTTAAATATTTCTCCTAGGTCATCTCTTAGCTTCTCTAACCATGGAGAATAAATTCAATTATTTAATCCTTGCATCAGAGAAGTAGTCTTAGAACACTGAATTGCATAGTTAAGAGCAATATTGTTTCTAGTAGATCATGAATACAACAGAAAACAGTATTTCTTGTTAAAGGTTAAATAAGCAGTGGATTGCAGCAAGTTTTATGCTGTTTTTCTTTCTCTCTTTTTGGCTCAGCAAATGATATCTTGCTTGTCGTTAGCGGGGATGGATATAGGTTTCCAAAGTGGGAGAACTTAAAATGTTTTGGATCAAACTGCTTAGCCCTTCTCTCTCAGCCTTTTCATTTAATTGTGATTCTTCACTCATAAGCATAAAACACTAAAAAGCTATTCTAAAAAATAATTGTACTGGGGAGTTTAATTCATTTTACCAACACAAACAACACATCGCTATATATATTCATGCCATTTTTTCCATATAAATATATATGTATATGCAATTGGCATTATAAACAAGGCAAARCAGCCCAAATTAGGAAAAGGGTGTTCATTTATAGCTAGCTTGAAATATTTGTTGAATGCTACAAGAACTTTGAATAAACAGCATTCTATTAATATTTAGTACTGGTAGTACTCCGTGGACCTGATTTAAAAAGAGTTTTATCTTTTACATGCTGTTGTTATCTTCAGAAATGATCTATGTTCAGAAAAAGAAAATTCCCTCATTTGTATCCTCACTGCCTTTAACATATATGATAATGTTATCTGAATTTTTTACATTGTCTGCCTTCTAAAACTTCAGCTTTGTAAATATTTTTGTTATCTGCTGACTACAGTACATAAATCTGCCCCTGCTGTATCAGAATATACRATCCATGTAAAGCTCATTGAAAAATAACGGTTTTAACAAATTTTCTATTTCTTCATCGTCTCTGCAATTCCCAACTGCCATTTTTAATGGAATCACTGTTATCGTTTGCTTTCTGTGCTCCGCAAGTGCTCGTACCTAACTCATTGTTAGCAGAAATTCCTTCTACATCTTGAACCCTCTAAGCATCCTTTTGACTTCTGTCAGTTGCAGCCTTTGTCTTGGGCAGAGCTTAAGTCTTTAATTCCTTCTGTTACTGCTCTCTCTGAGTCCTCCTGGACACGAGGGTGCCGTGACTCATCACGGTTCAGCCCCCGGGTGCTGCCATCGTCCTTGGGGCATGAGGACAACCCAAGAGCAGTCCCTACCACAGGCTGGGAGCTGCACTGGCTCTGGGGGCCACCAACCACGGCTGCGTGGGACATTTAGAGGTGCCACCAGACATATGCAGCTCTCGGATGTGTGTGTGTCCCTTGGGGAAATAGAGCTTCRTTATTAGGACAGGAAATGATGGTTAAAATTGTGCAGAGTCATCCAGATGCACTTGCTTTCCAAGAAACTACGGGATGGYTTCAGAATTAGTAGCAAATACATGCCCTTTTGCTTAGAAAGCAGTTGCCTGGTTGTCCCATGTTGACCTCATTCTTCCGTGGCTTCTGCGGGTTCCCATGGTATGGCCAGCTTTCTGAGTGCTGCTCCTTCTGCTTAGCTCTTTTAGAGCCATGACATTCATACAGTGCCAGCAGCAGCCCCTGGCCATCCCTCCCTCTTGTACATCACTAAATATTGCTTGTAGTTAATCCAGCTTGCGTTTAACTCTTCAGTCATAGATATCAAATAGGTTGTGACTTAGGTTCAAGTCAAGAGTTCCTTGGGCAGTCTCCTTYCTTTCAAAGACAGCCTTTAAAAGTCAGAAAATATTTGTGTTGCTGCATGTCATCCATGAGAATTTCAGATGCAAACCGTATCATTTTCAATCACTGAGTAAGACAGGTTTCCCCATTTTGAGCTGCAGATTTTTTCCAGGCTTATGTTTATGTAACCTCTGGTTGTCCCTGCTCTGCTGACGTTGATGTAGATGCCTTTGGTTTCACAGCAGAGATTTCCATTTCCTGCTGCAAAGATCCATTCCAAACTTTCAAGACTTCTTGGAATTTAAAATTGTATATTTTAAAAGGACAATTGATATATATATATATATATTTTTAAAAGAGAAAGTTTCCCTGCCTACTGGAAACTTAATCTCATTTCCATTTATCTCAAAAAAAAAAGACTCTCTTTCACTAGCAGGGTACAATGTTAGATGTTACCCAGTAAATCACAGTAGCTGATATGTACTTTTTTCTTGMAGGAACGTGAGCCGGGCTGTTTCAGATATCAGGAGATGTATGTTTCATAATATGCTAAGCCATGTAGTTTTGGCTCTGCTGGGTRTGTGTCTGAAAGAAGACTTACTAGAGACTCTGTATAAGACCTCTTTTCCCTGAAGTTTATAATGATTTTGATGACAAGATAGATCCCAAAAGATATGATGTCCTATGTATTTTATGCCTTCTTTTATTGGCACTGGTAGAGGTTCTTAGGCCATATCCTCTTATATTTTAAGTAACCATATTATGAAATATTTGCTTTTAAAATCTGGTCGTATTTAAAGAATTTTTTTTCACAGATGTTTATTGCTTTGTAACTGGAAGCAATAAAAAAAGTGTAAATTAGTTTGTCTGTGGTATGGCAGTAATTTGGGTCGTGATGTATAAAACAGCATTACTGCAACTTGAATTAAGATCTTTGACTTGGTTTATAAGATTGGAGTAAGAGAACAATATGGCATGGAGATGATCATGGCGTGTTTTTTTCTGCCATAATGCCACCTATCATTATCTTTTCTAGTATTTCTGGAAGTATACAGCATCAGTTGGGAATTGTCTTTTATCATTCATAAGATCTAGTGGTAATGATCTGTGTCACAGTTTATGTAACCTAATTTTAATATATATTTTTCCTTTTAACTGCATTTTTTTACTTTGAAAAGTGACTATGTAAATCTTCTAGTTCAGCAAAATCTATTCCCTTTTTATGCTATGGCAAATATATTTGCTACATATTTACAAAAAAAGTACCTTTCTCCCATATGTTACTCTCACATAACCGAGAGAGCTGAGGGCATGTGCACTGAATTCTGTCTGGCCTCAGCAGTAGATGTGTCAACAAGCTCCAGGGCCAGGGACAGCGCTACTCCTTGGGTGCAYCCGTAAAATACAAGACAAGACAGATGAGTTGTGCCAGTGTTCGAGCAGACAAAATTTATGAGCCAGAAAGATTCACAGCTTGAATTTGAGGCTGCTGAAGTCTAAAGGGCTGGCAATTTAAAGCAAAAACAAACAAACAGAGTGCAAATCAGAGCACGAAACGTGYGGAACATTGCAAAGTTGGTTGCATGTGATTGAGTTTTTTGGGAGGGGTTCTGCTTTTTGCACCAGCTCTGGCCAGCAGTGGCAGAACTTCTGTTTTTCCTCTCTGCTGCATTATTTTATTAGTCCCTTCAGGACACTTTGAATGATGGAGCACTTGTGCTTTGCAGTCCCTTCTGCCGCAGTGTAGCATCGTCACACCTGAGCCAGCCAGTTCAAAACTCATTTAAGAAGTAACTTGAGCAACAGTATCAGTCTAGCACAGCACAGACTACCCACTTGAGTTGATAGTGTATAATGCTCAATAACATGCGCCAAGTGGTTTACATGATCATTTTTTACCAAGGGGGATTCTTTCCTTTTCAAAATAAAGCCATTATAAAGAAAGATTCTTCCCTTCCTTCCTTTCCTTTCTCCCTCCCTCCCTACTTCCTCCCTTCCTCCCTCCCTCCCTCCCTTTGCACTTTTCCTGTAGCTTTCAAGTCATTTTAAGCATTTTGAAATTCAGAGTATGGAGAAATTTCAATTTGAGCCTTTTCCCATAAATTGCAGCTAACGTTAAAAAAAAAGGGGGGGGAGTGGTTTATTGAAGCTTAATAATCCATAACTAGATTTTTTGACAAATTCTTTTGCACATCCATATGGATGATGTAAGGCACAGTGGAGGCTCTCAGGTGGCTTCATCAGGGCTGATATGGAGAGCTGTTTCCAAGTGTTTTCTTAGCAGAGTTTGAGAAGAATTAAGTATTTGAGAAGGGAGGATATCTGAACCTTCCAGTGATTTGTGAACAGAAGTCAACCAAGGTACTTGGTGTCTCCTTAGGCATTTTGGGAAACATTCTCTATTGGTGGCTTTAAGGAGACTATCGAGAGACGGAAGCACATACAGCAAGGAGCCAGCGTGTGGGGCTGCTCCTGATCTTGCTCTTCTGCCATTTTCCCTCCTGGTCTCCCCCAGACAAAATTTCCCCCTGTCACTGAGCTGCTCCCACTCTGGGGGCATGAAGTGGTGTGAAGAGGCTGTAGTAGCTTGTGGAGCGGTATYGCAGCAGCGGCTTCCATATGTTTGGAATAGCGGGAGCCTCTTGCGTAAGTGCAATCTGTCCCCTTTACCCCCCCCCCAAAACGATATAGCGCAGCAGAGAAAAGCAGTTCCTCCTGAGTGCACTGGGGAAGCTCAAGTCTGACATATCAGTTGAAACCCTTTTAGTTGAACAATAATGCCATTATGACGGTCAGTGGTCAAAAAGCCGTGTTTCTGGTGATTTCTGGAAGGCTTTCTTGTTTGAATGGCAGTGTTTGATCATAGGATCACAGAAAGGTCTTTTCCAGGTTCAATCACGAGGACTTGAAAGAGGGATAAAGCAGCCTACACTGTACTTTGACTGCCTTAGTGTCTGTGATGTGTCTGTAATTTACCTTCTGTGATATGAGAGACATTAGAGCGAGGGGAAAGGTGCTGGATGTCTAATTCTAAATTTATCCTTTTTGTTAAAGCTTATTAAAACAGCACTTTATATGGAGCACTTCCACCAGCACCCTAGATATAGTCCTTGAATATGTAGTATGTCCAGAATTGCTACTGTTCAGCAAAGACACAGAAAAATGAGAGAAGGGRAAAAAAACAGGAGTTATTTAACTTGATGATTACACTGATATGGTATGAAAAACGCTTCTCAAAGGCCAGGGTTTGCCAGCTTCACTTCAAAGTAAGACATTCCAGTTTAAAAATGTGGATTTTGACCACAAAAAATAAACTGTAACAAAAAATATTCCAATTGTCATGAGTGGCTTTTCACTTACAGTACTGTCTTGCTGAATACAATCAGCCTCTTCAGCAAGCAGGTTGCTGCTTATAGTGTGAGACTCTTTTCCCTCTGGCCTTCTTTTCAGGTAAATTCTGTAACTTCTTGATAAAAAACAAAGCTTTGTAGGACAGAACTACTACCATGAAGTTTTAAAATATATACTGTGAATATGCTAATCAAGAAAACTGAGTATGACTCAGTACCCTATAGACTGTATTCTTAAGTCATAATTTCCATCTCCAAGCTCACCTGGTGTGAAAGCAGCACGAGTGAGCCCCTATCTCCCTGTCAACACTCTCAAGAAATTCGCTATCAATTTAGTTTTACATTACAGCACAATAAAAGTTTCAGCAACTTGAGGGTATTCAAAAGAGGCCTGGTAGAACAGCAGAAGATGTATTGTGAGAGCCTGTCTTTAGTTGATGCAGGAYATGATGCAATTGGTTATTTTCATGTCCAATTTATTGCATTTCATACTTGCCCCAAAGGCAGTGGCTCTGTTATAAAGGAGGAGCAAGTGGGCTTGCACAGACTTGAAGGTAGGAGTATTCTCATTTAGTGTTGGTGATAGCACTAAAAAACTCATCCATGCCTTAGGAGGCTACCAGTCCAACAGGAACCTTATGTGGCATCAGATTTTCCCCTTTCCACAAAATAGTTAACTACACTCCATGTCCTGGAAGAAAGAAGAGCTATTAACAGTCCTAAATGCAGGGCCCTTTCTGTGAATTAGGTGTCGGTAGCCAGTCTGGCATTTAGATGAGCATTTGCCTGGTTGTAGCTTCAAACAGATATGCAATCTTTTTGCATGGCTTATGGCCCAGGCAGATGGTTCTAACATTGCATACTAGGCATTTCACTCGAACGGGGATTTCATTTTGGTGCTTAGAGGATAAAAGATGTAGGACAGTAACAGTTTAAGGTGGGAATTAYCAGAGATATTAGAGGGTGTCTGAAGTTTAATTTTAAAGCTTTTGGAAAGATCTCTGATATTTACTGGTGGTGATTTTAGAAAAATAAAAGTAGTTCAGCACCTCAAATTGAACATAACGAAAAGATTAACTTAGGTGCCTTCTGTTCTGACCRCCATAAATAGTCTTTGATTACAGAAGATATTTCTTCATATTAATGTGGTGACAGACAGGACGTGGAATCTGTAAGTGAGTTCCATGCTCTTTCTCAGGTTTATGTGACTAGTTTAACACAACTGACATTTTAAAAATAGTTTTAGTGAAAATTACCTCAGTCTCATTACGTTGTGTTGGTATTGAAGGATTTTAGGTTTGGCTGGAGTTTTCTACCATTWATCAGTAGCAATATCACAAAGTGTATGAAAATTTATAGATAGAGTGACTGTTTCCTTATCCATAATATGAGAAAGCTGAAAGCATCTATTTGTCATGCCAGAAAGCTGAATTCGCAGGATCAGGAAAAAGATCCGCCCTTCCTTTAAACCGAGGGTTTCAAAAAGATGCTAATTATATTGATTTTGATAGGGGGTTTGTTCAGCAGATGTTTGTCTCCTAGGAAATACATGCGGACCACCAACACACTTCAAACAGACCCTCAGAAAAGAGCAGTCACCACATAATGGCTTTCAGGGACCGCTGGCAGAGCTGAATCAATGGCTTGTTTGGGATCTCATTACCATTTCTCATGCATCGGATCCTGTACCTAACCATGAACTTGAATACCTTTCTGTCGGATTGCTGCAAAAAGCCTCCTCTTCTAACAACAAACACATTAATTCTATTAATTTTCATGTTTCTAACCTTCAGCAAGAGAAGAACAATACTGGCAAAGCCCAGTGCTAACTGCTGTGCAAAGCTGCTCTTGTAATCCAGCCCTTCTTKCAGGAATAAAACGAGTCCTCAGGAGCCTGATCTCAAGCTGAAGCCTGTAATGCAGCCCTGAGGAAGCATCGCAACAGGCTTTAGCYGGCACTAGTGTGTTTAATAAAATTAAATCTGTCTCTCAGAAGTTACAGACAGTAGTCAAAAAATGAGAATAACTCAGCTACCGAACACTGCTGACAGACCTGCAGCTATGGGTGTACTGATGGTTTTTGTACACCRGCTGAGGGGAGGCAGCATACAGAGAAGAGGTGACGGGAAGAGATGACACAAGGTTAGTTAGGATGCAAGTCCTTCTGCCAGAGCCATCAGTAGGCTGATCTTCCTTACGCACCACCATGGATACTCCGCAGTGTCTGCTTTCCATGAGCTAGTGCAGCTGTAGTAGAAATACCATAGGTTTGCTCTTCGTTTTAGCCTTCCTTTTATTAACTTGCTTAGCAGTTCTTAAGCTCCTACTCTCTTGGTATGGATAAATTTAACCTGCAGAAGCAAGTACGTGAGGAACAGGGTCTCGCTTTCCTTGCTGCTGAGCATTTCAGAGAGAACATCTTGATTAATACTGTGGTTGTCCGTCAGTCTCTGTAACTCCCCGCAGGCGAAGGGCTGCGTGTCTTCCCCGCAGCTACTGCTGCTCTGCTGTCACCAGCTCTTCTATTCTGGCATTTCAGAAATTTCCTCCGTGCRTTCTGAGCAGCGCCGGCTGCACTGAGCTCCTTGTAAAGACAGARCTGCAGCTCCATGTGCTCTGCCTGCAGCGCTAGGCGGGACACGGCCTGCATCCTGTCATCCCTGTGCTCCTCAAGAACGGGCTCTGCTCGCTGATGACACGGCACAGATTCTTCCTCGTTTTCTTGGCAGTGCTGGGATGGGCTGCCAAGGGCTCGGACCCGGAACCTCTCCTTGGCTGCCTTTTACTTAGCACAGAGTCAGAGTTGCTTAATGTTTTATGCTATGACAGATGAGACAGGAGAAACCTTCTGTTGGCTGATAACCTRGCTTGATAACAGGTTTGTATCTTTGGAGCTAAATCCGCATGACAGCTTCTCATCTTGCTTTGTCTGTTTTGCTTGGGCCTTTGGAGTTCTGATACGTGTGAAAGATGTAGAGTGGATATGCCTTGCACTGGTGCTTTCTGTGGCTTCCCACCTGGGGACATTTGAGCTGTGGAACCGCCTGTCATGCTCGAATTACTGGCAAACCCATTTTTCATCAAACCTGKTTCTTAGAGGATCGTGTATGTATGTATAAATATATATTTTGTATATATAAATTTCTGTGTTGGCCTTGGCTGAGAAAGATGTATTATCACATGCTTAAGTTGTTGTCTCATAAAAATATGCTTGATTTTTTTTTGTCCCAAATGGCAGTGTTGGGATCCCAAATGTGAGCCTGTAATCAAAGAGTGAAGAGCAGCTGGGTGAAAGAGTTCATTTYGAAACGTCTGCCAAGCCTCTGGGGATGATTCTGAATCTGTGTCTTAAAGACAAACAAGAGTTAATCGTGATTTTGGAGATACCAAATTCAACTTACCTGAATTGTCCGAACAAGCTAAGAACTCCACCGAATTGCCAAATTGATAGATGCAAATTGAAGTCCAGTTATATTGAAAAAACAGCTCTGATATTTTTGTACCTTACATGTCATGGTCTTTCTTATTTGTTCAATATACTTAGCTAGTTCACTGTCCTTAGTATTTGAGCCTCTCACAAATGAATCAATTCTCAGAGTGACTTAAGGAATAATCTTTGGCCACTCTTTATGATAAGGGATGAGACTAAAGAAGGAAAGATCTGTTTGAGGTCACAGAAGAAATTTATAGTGCTAATAATAATAATAATAAGCATTGCCTTTCTTTCACTAGATTTCACTAGATATGAGTAGATCTCAAAGAAAACCTATCCTCAATCCCAATTCAAGCTATTTAGCTCCCTTTAAAGTCAGATTGTTTTGATGGGTTTTTGATGTTGTTTTTAGAGATCATGAACTTTCTAATTCTTTTCATGAAATTAATTTTCGAGAAATTTTACCTTTTTGTGCCCRTTTTTTGAGCCCATTTCTGTCTGCACCTTCCATCTGGATACTGTTTTCAATTTGTTGGCATGTGCTTTTGTGCTGAAATACCTGACAAGACAGGACTCTTGGAAGCAGATTGCAGTTTTGCTGGACAGAGAATTGAGCCATGAATGTTAACATTCACATTTGTCAGTTCTTTTTTACAGGCTTCTGCAACGGAGCTTAGCGCTTAGACAAGAACTCAAGTGTTCCTTTCAAACAGGATATCCTTTTGCTCTTCTGGCACTTTAAAGGTCTGTCCCCAATATCTTCCAAAACCAAAATAACAATTCCTCAGATATTTCCTGTTTTCTTTTGTTAAGAACTCTAAAGCACCTATCAGCTTAAAGCAGTTCCTTCTCTTCCATGCTAGCTTTAAAAGTTGCAACAGTCAAACATGGCCAATTCTCAGCATATTCCGATGCATTTGACATCCCAATCTATTTTTCTTTTGCAGCTTTCTCTTCAGTTTAGTTCTGTGCCTGTATGTTTGAAGTTTTTCACTGCTTGTTGTCTACTGAGAAATCTCAGCGCTCCACAAGAAGACAGACTTTAAGATGCTGAGTCTCCTCCCTTGCCTAAAATTAGAAACATGCTTAAGGCTTTTGTTAGATCCTGGTTTTAATTTCCTGGTTAAAGACTTCCCCTCCTTTCTGTAATGCCTTTTTTTGCCTTTTTTTTTTTTTTTTTTTTTTGGTCTGTTTGTCTTAAAATTGGCTGCTCAGCTCCATGCACAGCAAGATGACAAAGTTCTGAGAACTTCTTTGGGCTTGTGAGCTCACAGGAAGAGGATGTTGGGGAATAGGCACTTAATGGCATCATAGCTGCTTTCCCAGGGCAGCTATTCTTTGGTTTAAGAGAGAGAGTTTGGTCTCAACCTCAACCATTCAGTGATTCTGTGTCTACTCTAGTCATCCTTATGTTAGTATTATTAGTATTATTAGTATTATTAGTATTATTAGTATTTGTATTGTGTAAAGCAAAAAGGGGGAAATACGCAGTTGCTGTGCTCTAGATTGTGAGAGGCAAATTTTTCCCCACCCACAGGAATCAGTTTTCCTTGCTCCTTTCCCGAAGAGGCTGCCTCCCACAGCCAACCTGCTCGTATTGATTCGCCTTGCAGCGTATTTGGGAGGTCACCCGAGTCAAGCGCTATTATACYGGGGTCAAAAGCTTCTTCCACAGCTGATGGTCCCTTCCCAGGCGTGTGCCACTCCAGCTGCCTTGGCAGTGAAGGCAAAGGGGGCCTACACAGCTGTCAGTCTAAGCTGTGCCACCAGAACAACAGGAGAGGGAGAAGTCGTGTCCCATGGATTGAATACTGCGTGGTCTGGAAGCCATTAGGAAGCCTGCCCAGTGAGGCAAGCTTAGTATTTGTTTCCTCCTGGAAGCTTGTGTTGTGCTGCTTAATGCATTAATGTTACACTTTTCTTTCTTTTTCTGTTGAAAGTCATGGCTCTCATTTTAACAAGTTTGCCAGAAGACCAAGTCTTGGGCTTCATTGGAATCCATTCCTGAGGGCCGTCAGGGAGCAGAGGAGGGGACGCAGTAGTGCTGAGGGGCGTTTGGAGATGCAGGGATGAGGRTTCCAGGATAAGTGTGCGTGGCAGTTCAGGTCTGGGAACAGGTCCACACTGGGAATGGGGACAACTCATGCAAACTGTCTCCCAGGATTAAGGCTCCTTCCGACTCCATGGGGCGCTTCAAGATTTAAATGGCTATTAGATCAATTTACTTGGTGCCATCAGCATGTGGAAAGGCAGCTCTGCTGCTTGGGGACAGGAGGGGCCTCTGTGTGTCCGAACAGGATGTTAGGCTGCATGTAGTATAAAACACCATCAGTGTTGATTTGTAGGCRTCGTGATTGAAGTAAGGGGAAAGCAAAACCACTGCAGTCAATTTGCGATTTTCCACGGTAAAAAAAAAAAAACAGGGAGAAGGAGAAGGGGGAGAGAAAGTAGCCCAGATAAGACGCGGATAATACAAACCATATATACCCGAAGCTGTGCTAACCTTTGAAATGCTTGTAAACAAATCCCGTGGAGAGCTGGGGCAGTTTTCAAGCAGCAGCAAAGTGTGGAGAGCAGCGGGCACCGTGCCCCACACATCACTCCCGCACCGCGGTGCCGGAGCCAGCAGTGCCCGATGGAATCTCGTAAGGAAGCAGCCGCATGGCTTTGAGCAGTTGAGCACAGCTCAGCAAAGCGGAGCTGAACTAACGTGGGCTGCTGGCTTGCCAGGATGYGGATAATTGCGCTCTGCTGTTTAATCGAGTGTTTGTGAAACGAAAATATATTTTGGTGAAGTCCACCCTGAAAATGCGTCTTGCTTGTGGATCCTCTATATAGGAGAAATCAACATGTGTGTGTTTGAGGGGGTGTAGGACATGCAGAGGTAATGTTTGAGATTAAATTGTCATAAAAGTAATGAAACTTCCGCATATTATGCAATTTTGGTTTTTTGGCCAGAAAGTTTTTCCTYGCTGCGGCTGTTGTTGGTATTAAACTGTTCATAGGTGGATTAGAGTTAGGGAACATTATTAGTCCAAAAAAGTTGTTTTGTTTTCACAAAATAGACTTGCAGCTGTGTCACTGATACATGGTATTTTGCATTTCTTGGCTACCAGCCATTCTGAATGGTAAGAAGCATCGTGCTGGACAATGAGATTTCTTTTTTTTYCCTTGAACAGAATAAATCAAAGAATCCCTCTGATTCAAGTTCTTTCTCACAAGGCTATCATTTCAAAGGCTCGGCATGCAAGTCATGTCATCATAACCTCCTTCTCTGTTCTACTTTACTCTCTTCATGAGCAGTGTTTTCATGGAGGAAAGGCTGGATATTCTCAAGAACATTCTTCCTGTTTGAAAATAATAAGAATTTTCTGATTCCCTCAGGCACTGTGCACAAGGTTAATAATTCCTGTTTGTTACTTCATTCCCAATCACTTTCCATGGGACATTGCAACCTCACTCTCATTTATGCTTTTGGGCTTGTGACCCTGGGCTGCGGAATTAGAAGATTAGTACTTTGCTTTTTTCTCTATATGCTGTACAGACTGCAGTGGGGAATGATGCATACATAACTGACTCCCTCATAGCTCTCAGAAGTGCAAGCTGCAGATCCTACCCAGAGGCTCTGCTGCTGAGTATTCAGATGTCCTTTTGGTTTGGATGTCCAAATGTAAATCCCTGGAAGTCATCTTGAAAGATGAAGACCACTCAAAGTTCTACTGATTAAAAGAAAATCATCAGAAAATCATAATTCAGGTGAGAAAATGGATTTTATTTCAGAACAAAAATGCCAGGTGGAGGGTTTCTTAGCGTTTTATAACTTCTTCTTTTGTTAAATATCTGAAAGGAAGATGATTCAATATTACTAATGTTTCTAGGTACACTTAAAGATAGTGGTCTAGAACTTTTTTGGATCAAAGGGCAGCTATGAGTCACCAAAGTTTTTCTTTAGGAGTATCGTATGCCCTTATCACTATCTTTTAATTAGAAGCCCTGTCCTGTGAATTTATTGTGAAGACTTTGGCCTCGTGCAGTATCAGCATGGTTACGCCAAGGTTTGGAAACTCACTGTCTATAAAAAAATCCTAAAATGTTTAGAGCAACATAATGGTTGTTCAGAGAATCTTGATTCAGATGCCAGTGACATATTTTCTCTAATAAAAACCTGTCGCACAGACACAGAATAGCTGAGACTGTCCTTGTAAGGAAGCAATCCRTCCCCCAAGTCAATTTTTAAGTTTCTTGTTCACTTTAAATATTTCATTACATTAATTTTTCAAAACAACAAAACAAACATTCATCAAGTGAAACTAAGCATGTCACCCCTGAATCTGTACATCTGTTGCTATCCCGCTGCTTTCCTGCATAATTCATTTTAATACATTTAAAGTGTACATCTCATTAAAATTCCTTACACTCATTTATGTATAAAGTTTGCATTAAAAAGGAGAAAAGGTGGGAATAGATTTTGAGGCAGGAGGTTCATTAGCATAGAAGTTTCTCTTTCCTTCCTTCAGCTTTTCATAATTTGAATGTGTATCCATGATCTGGCTTTAGCCATCTACATCAGCCCACACTGTTCTCTGTCTCTCAGAAGGTCTCTAAGAATGAGTCATTTCTTCAGTGCCATTAGAAATTTCCTCCAGGATGTTTTGTCTTTTTTTTTTTTTTTTTTTTCGTAATGTCTTTGTTCCTTTTTAAGTGCATGAATCCTCTTCTCTCCATCCTCTTTTTCTCAATTCCCATGATCTATATACATGATGTGTTCTGTCCACCAGTCTTGTTATCAGCCTGGAGAATACCCATCAGTTGCTCAGATGCCCTAAGAAGTTCTTGCAGGTGGGCTACAGTGCTAGAAAGGGGTTTAATTTCCATATTTCATTCAGTTTGAGGTTTCTTTTCCAGTAGCAGTGCTTTTAATGACCACAGTGTTTGGTTTGGTTTCATTTATTTTAGCACTGGAGAGTTRTCCATGGTTTCTTAAGCTAGCTGTATAAAGTAATCAGTCTGGTAGCTTGAGGTAGCTAGTTTTTAATGATGATGATTTAGAATCATAGAATCATAAAATCATTATAGTTAAAAAAAAGATCTTTTAGATCATCACCTCCAGTTGTAAACCCCTCACCACCCTGCCTGCTAAACCATGTACCTAAGCACCTCAGCTACACCTTTCTTCAACCCTGCCAGGGATGGTGACTCCACCACTTCCCTGGGTAGCCTGTTCCAACRCTTCACCACTCTTTCAGTATTGAAATTCTTCCTGATGTCTAACCTGAACCTCCCCTGGTGCACCTTGAGGCCATTTCCTCTTGTCCTGTCGGTAGTTATTTTGGAGAAGAGACTGACCCGCACCTCACTACAGCCTCCTTTCAGGTAGCTGTAGAGATGATAAGGTCTCCCCTGAGTCTCCTCCACACYAAATAACCCAGCTCCCTCAGCTGCTCCTCATAAAGCCTGTGCTCCAGCCTCTTCACCAGYTTTGATGCCCTTCTCTGGACATGCTCCAGCCCCTCCAGGTCCTCCTTGTAGTGAGGAGCCCAAAACCGAGCAGTGTTTGAGGTGCGGCCTTGCCAGGGCCCAGTGTAGTCCTGGTGGCTGCGCTGTYCCTGATAGAAGCCAGGATGCCGATGGCCTTCCTGGCTACCTGCGCCCCACTGCTGGCTGGCTGTTGTCTGACACCCCTAGGCTGATGTCTTCCTTTAGCGACTCTGCTGAAATTCTTCTCTGAAATGCCTCATAAATAATTAGGATTTTGTGTGTTTTCTGATTAAAGTAATAGTAAAGAGTGATCAGATTGTTAAAAGCTACTTATAAAGATGTAAATTAAAAGAGGAGAATTTAAAGAATTAACTTTAAGAATTAGTCACATGAGGAACACATGATATTTAATGCAAATTGTTATACATATTTATATATATAATGGTGCCTATCTGATTCTCTGCATCTTTTACCTTCAGTTTTTGAAATTTATTGCTTAAGAACCTCATGAAAGGTATAGGATATGTGAAGTTAAAAAGTGAAATACAAATCAATGATCTGCTTGACTAACCTTTCTCCTGATTGGAAATGGGAGTTTAAATCCTTGTTTGGAAAACCTTACTGAGTTTACATGGGAAACTCCTCTTGGCTTCCTAGATAGGCTGCAATGTCAGTCACAGAGGGACAGACTGAAGGTCATGTATGAGCCCTCTAAAAAAGATTAGGTCAGATGTGTTCACTTTGGTTTCCTGGAGATTTAGTCTGAGTTACAGCTGGGAAAGGAAAATGCAAGAGACTTTCCCTCTGAGCAAAAGTATTTAGTTTTATTCTGATGCCCTTGCTCCAAATAAACAGCAGAGGTTTGAATTCAGCACGAGTGTAGCACTGTTGAATGCAGGTTATGAACCACGAGACATGAGCCGAGCCCTTGGGTCCCGCTGTAGAGGCAGCCAGCTCCCCCGTGCTGTAATTGCCYCCCCTCTCCCTTCCCCAAAACATCCGTCTCTTGTGCAGCAGGGGAGCAGCTYTCTAGTGCAGACTGTAGTGAGGCGAGTTCATAAATGCTGAACGTTTAGAGAAAAAGTCTTTCTCACCGACTCTGAGCATGATGTCTGTGTGAGTAGGTGTTGCTGGGCTTTGTATTGGTGCACTTGTTTTGTATTTCGTATGGTGCATTATCTGCTCCAACCCAGYGTGCAAATCTAGCAAACGATACAACACTGGAAAGGACAGGGCTTGGGAGCAGACTTGGAGGACAATTTCTCTTTGAAAAGTCTTAGCAGTAGGAATGACTTCACTGGGAAATTCCTTGTTTGTGCTTTTTCTTTGCAGTCAAATGTGCATCAGGGTAGGAATCACACCATTTATTTGAAGACTCAGATATTGGAAGAATGTAAAATTTTAGAGAGCACAGTGACATACTCAGGTTGATTTTTCTGGGTAATACTGGGTAATTTCATACATATTCGAGCAAGATTAATGAGGGCGAAACCTGCCATACATCTTCAGAGACTCGGAATGACAAGGCAAATAATGTCGTCTTACAGGCAGCTTATTCCACAGATGTCTACAATTTGCTTTCTTGAACTTTCCTTTCATGGATGTGGTACTGAGCGTTGTCTGGAGCACACGGGGTGTCAGCCTGCTCAGGTGGTTGCTGCTTTGCTGCAATAACCTCTATTTGGCTGCCGCGTTCCCCTCTGCTGTCGCCTCTGGGCTTCTGTGGCTCTGTGTGGAATGAAGCTGGGACAAAAGCTACCAGCGCTCTTTGTTACTACTTTTATCAGCTAGGAAAATAAGAGCAAAAATGGTTCTTATTTAAAACTAATATTGGCACACATAATCAGTATGTGGACCCAAGTGTTTTTGTGCTTTTAGCCTTTCCACTGCCCACAGCTGCACTTGTTGTGTTACAGCACCTTTATTTAATTTCATCTTAAATTACATTATCCTGTAATCTCTCAGTGTCAGAGACTGGATTTGTCTATGGTTGGAAAGCTCCCAGAAAAATGAGGCTGGGAACTATCAAGTGCTACTGCAGTGCAAGAAATGGTTGATTAGGCTAAGGTCAGGTCAGTGGCTTATTCCTGATTGAGACAGAATTTCACGTCCCCTCGTATTAAACTTCAGTGATGTGCAGCATACTTTAGTCAATAAATAGCATTTTGCTGTTCATGCCCATTGGAAATAATACATGATGCTGCAAGTATTGATCAAAGAGTTCTACTCTGTTAATCCCTTTGCTTGTAGCAATGTTAAATATTTACAGATTCTCCTTTAGTATCCTAAAGAGTGTTTTAGCCTTGCTGAGGGTGCTTTTCTGCTCTGTGCAGGTTTTACAAGTATATTCTTTTTCTTCTTTCCCAGCCCCCATATGCGACATAAAGCATTATACTGTGCTTATACTTACCACTTTTAATGCTTTATTGCATTCG